TCCTGGAAGTGATCACAGACACAGGGACAGTCCTGGAGGTGATCACAGACACAGGGACACTCCTGAGGTGATCACAGACACAGGGACAGCCCCTGTGCTGTTGCCTTACTCTGAGGCTGGGACACTCTTGAGCAGAGCACAAGAAAGCTCCTTCCAACTCAGCACAAATAGCACTATTTTTCATCATGAGAACTGCAGGTTGAGTTGAGAAACAACAGGATAAACAAGAGGATAATCAAGATGAACAAAATTAGAATTTTTAAAGAGGGCTCAGCCATCAAGTATATGATAAATGATGCATAACTGAAAAAATGTTGGTGCTTCTCTCCCCATGTTTTCAAGCTCACCAGAAATAACCCTTCAAGAGAGACATTCACCCAGTAAATATCTCTCTAATTCTCCTTTCCTTTACTTGCTCATGGCTTGTTTAACGTGCCTGTGTGGAATTTCACATCCCCATCCCTTTGCAGACCTTTCCAACGAGAAACAGGTGTCTCAGGGCTGGCTGGGAACACAAGTGCACTGTGTTTATCAGCTGTGTAAACTTACATTGAAGAAGTTGGTCTTGTTCCTCTCACAGAAGAGGCCCTGTGCAGGCATGTGCTTCAGCTGCTGCCAGGGCACCCCGCTGCCCAGCAGCACGTCCCGGGCCCACTGCAGGTTCTGTGGAAACAACAGCCATGGAGGCAGGAGAAAATGTCACTGTCACATTTGCTGAAAAATCCTCTTTGCCCAGGATTCTTCTCCTGGCAAGCTGAGAAGCCTCAGAGAAAAATGAAAACAATATTATCTGATTCACTTCTCCTGTGTTTGTTGCTTTGGAATGTGGTTTGGACATTGTTTACCAACTGGTCATTGTTTGATCTGTTCCATGTGAATTGTTTTAACTTAATGGCCAATCACAGTCAGGCTGTGTCAGGACTCTGGAAGGAGTCATAGGTTTTCATTCTCATTCTTTGTAGCCTTCTGTCTGTATCCTTTCTCTATTCTTTAGTATAGCTTTAGTATAGCATGATATGATATGATATGATATGATATGATATGATATGATATGATATGATATGATATGATATGATATGATATGATATAATATAACATAATATAATATAATATAATATAATATAATATAATATAATATAATATAATATAATATAATATAATATAATATAATATAATATAATATAATATATGTCTTCTAAGAACATGGAGTCAGAGTCATCATTTCCTCCTGGGGACCCAGCAAATACCACACAGGGGATGCAAAAGCCACCACAGGTGAAAGTACAAAACAAACCACACTTTTCTTTATTAACCTGCAATGTCTTTTCTCATTTTTGTCATACTTGCTGTTCCATTCTCCCCACACACTCTCTGGGAGCATTCCCAGCTCTTCCCTTGGGCCAACCACCAGCAGGGAATACCCTGCCAGAGCTGAGGCCTCGACCCTCAGGCTCAAACTGCAGCTTCCTTTAGTGGGGAGGGGAATTCAGAGCTTTTGTGGGAATTCAGAGCTTCCTTTAGTGGGGAGGGGAATTCAGAGCTTTTG